ATCTTTCATTCTGCTACATGCAGCAGCAGTTGTGTCTCTCTTCCCATCTAGTGGTGGAGTTGGTAGTGCTACATTTACAGTTGGACTCTATGACGTTAAAGGTCTTTTCCAACTTGAATTATTCTATGACACTATGAGCTTTAAGCTCTTTCTATCCCCATACATAATGTATTTCTATATTCCATTTATCTTTGATCTCCTGCTTAACATACATAGGAAAGTTGAAAAAATGCCCTTATTTGTTTCAAAATGGTTTTTAAGGCAGTACCACAAGATTGTTCCAATTCATGTAATTTAGTCCCATCTTTCTGCACTTACAGGAAATGAAGTCTGAATTTAGTGAGGGTTTGAGATGTTGAGAGCATTGCTAATCTCTATTTTCACTCATGTAGGGTCAGAGTTTTGAAGATTTTCTTCTCAGGAACTCAGCAGAAAACAGGTCTTTCTAAATAGCAAGTACTGATAAATGCCTAGTTGCCTTGCTGAGATCCAGAATGAGAGCATCTCTGACAACTCAGCTTATTCAGTCCCAGTGAGCTGGGCACACAGGCAGTGTGTCCCAGGAAAGGGACTGATGTTTGGCTGCCAAGCTGGTCAGTATGCCTTTCCCTGCAAGATGGAAATGTCTCTTATTTTTTCATATTAAAACAATTTCATTTTGCTGCGCATCTCAAATATCCTATCGTAGTACCACCAGTGCAGCACAAGTGGTGATTCCATGACAAGCTGTAAGTAAACAAAAATAATTTGGAAGTTACAAATGAGAATTTTAGTATCTTGATAGAATGATTCACAATTTTACACACAAAGTAAAATGTTTTTGTCTGCCTTTTTAAAGGGGGAAAAAAAAAAAGGTGAGGTAGCAATTCTTTGAGAATGTGATGCCTGATCTCATGACACTTTTTCTTTACATTTGTCTTTATAGCTTTATAGAAGATGTCTAATATCTGTCAACTGGGTTAGATGATTTTGGTTTCCTTGCACAACACCTTGATATTGTTTACAGTTAATTTACAGGCTTCATGATATGAACCCCACATATGCATGCTTCAGAGACCACAGAAGAAAATCTGCTTATTGATTTTGAACACCTGCTGTTACTGCACTTTAAATACTTATATGACATTTAAAGCAACTGTATATTTTCTAGCCATTTAAATATAGACACATAAACAGATATACCACAGAATTCACTGCTTTAACATAAATCAATTATTATTACATATTTGGTTTACAGTTTGTTTCCAAACACATATATCCTCTTACTAGAATTATATGAAGTTACACAGTATCACCATAACCACTCTTCAAGCTGCTTTTTATGTGACAGTGAGTTTTGTGAGTACATCCCACATCAGTCAGTTCTATTTGTTTAAAAGCCATGAATATCACACTGAAATACTAAAATTCTACATCAAATATATCTGATAAGGAAAAAAGTCTAATAGAAAGTTAAGATAAGAACTCATATTTGTCAATACTGAAGAAAAACTTAATAAAATTAGTCCAAGTCCAAAGGAAAGGTTACTAACTAAAAAGTATCTGTTTTATGAATTTTATAAGATTAATTACCTTGAAGAGCCTTTATGTTTTCTTTTAGGGCTTTTATACTACTAAACAGTAACTCACACTTTAAGTGACACATGCATAAATTTGACATTGAAAACACCACTCAAACTTTTCAAATAATTAATCCAAATGAGAAATTTGACTAATGGTGCAAGAGCTAGAGGGCTAATTCCTGTTCCTGTGGCAAATTCTGTTACATGCTTCATCCCTCTCTGTGTCAAAAGAGCTGTCAAGAGCATGTTATCCTCCACTGGTGCAGCATAATTTTACAATTGACTGTGTACAACTGCTGCAAAATCTCACGTAATCTATTTCCTAATAAAAAGCTTAAAGAGCTGCAAGCAAAAATCTTGTTGCAAACAGACATATTTGAACATCCAGAGGCCCATGCACTTAGCTGGAGGTTATTCTGATTTTACAGAACACTAGTTTATTCTCTTCTTGACGTACTTTCAGGATTTAAAGGCCACTTTCAGAAGGTGTTGCTCCCACCTTGAGAGTAACAAGGTGTTTTGGAAAATAAAAGCAAATCCAACGGAAAAAAAATTGACCTATGCATTTGTTCATCTTAAACAATTAAATATATTTATGAAAATTGTGTTCAAATTGTATTTGTCTAGCAAATCCCTTAAAAAGTTTAGCTACCTAGGAGCAGTGAGCACCTTCTCCACTCTGGCTGAATTTCCCTTTTCACATAAAGTGTGATGATTTGGCATATTGAGACATTCATCAGCAAAGGTGTGAAAGAATCTGCACCTCACAATGTAATCTGGGCTACAGCTATTTTGCAGCTTCAGTACCAAATTATGGCAAAGCATAATAATTTTTCTGTTCAGTTCTTCTTATGTGTGGATTACCGGAGCTACAGATACAGATCCCTACAGTTATGCAGGACAAATCATACACTTAAAACCTGCTAAAAGTTTGTCTCTGTGCCTCAGGTCCAAAGTAACTGACAAGAGCAACAGCCTGCTGCTGATGCCTTACTCCATGCTTTCTTTGGTTTAAAACAGTCATCTGTGTTCTACTATATGAAATCCACTACATAAGGAACTTTAGGCTATGGTTTGATAAGAGTCTATAGCCTCTGTGCATCGCAGGAGGCCTGTAACAGCATGTCTTCATGCGTGGCGTCAGGTGTAGAAAAAACCAGCTTGACTCAGATATGGCTAGCTGTGTAAAGAAAGAGAGTGTGTCTGATCCGCATCAGCTCTGTCCAGTTCAGTCAGAAAACTGAAGTGTCAATGAAGCAGTGTCAGAAAGAGTATATTACCAGCTTACATACAAGCATGCAGACTAGTTTCTGCCCTGCAGAATGCAAAACATTCCAGTTTTGACTGATAAATTGGTAGTTTATTGGCAGTACTTTTAGCATTTCTAGAAAATTTGTAAGATATACTACAAACAGTATATCTACAGTAATATTGTCCTGTTAACTACAACTGAACAAAATTTTGTGTTTATGTGCTCTGTGGATTAGTCTTCAAGTGTTAAATAAGTGGCTGAATTAAGAACTTAGCGTACCTCCCAACACATTGAGGAGAGCATCCGGTCTGCTCTGATCAACCTCTGGAAGTGGGCAGTATGTTGTCTGTATGGAAGACATGGGCTCAAAATTTGATATCTGAAGCAAAAGTTTCAGTGTACACTAACACTGTGTGTTTACAGACACACAGATAATCAGTTAAATTCTAAAGTCCTGCCAGCGGAAGGGCTAGATAGCTCAGCTGATCTGTGCTTGAGCAGTTCCTTGGCATGAAGGTAAAAGATGAGAATCTGATTTGCCAAATTAGATGTGGCGTTCTGGGACCTTCAAAATCTGAAAGTCTCTTTTGGCTGGCTCTGCAACAGGTTACTTGATACTACAGGAAGGCTGGCTCAGTGCATAAAATCATGAAAAGCTGAAGAAATGTAAAGCTGTTCAGGAAGGACATGAACAGAAAAGAGCTCATCTATAGTAAATACACATTCTTTCACATGTATAGTACAATTTCCCTTACCTCATGTTTCCAATTTCCTCTGAAGCTAGTGATACTGGCTAAATACTTGGCCCAGTTTTAATTAGTCATCACTGGGTCATACTTTCCTGGAGTAAATTAAACTTTTGTTTCAAGAAAGAAGGACCACAGTAAGTTCAGAACCATTCCAGTATCATTTTGATTCTGCCTCAGTTACACGGGATATGAAGAGTCCTCATTGTTCTCATTGCTGCTCTGGGGACATATATCCAGCCCTTCCTTCCTCATTCTTACCACTATTGTAGCAGAGTTCTGACTCAGACTTTCTGCATTTTATCTTTGACTTTGTAGGCTAGATTCCAGATTAATGTTTGTAAGTTCATTATGAAAAATCTGACTTCAAACTTTCCTTCCAAGTAAAGAGAGAAGTGCAATGCCTAAGGATCACCACTCAACTTTTTGTTGGTATTGGAGTACAAATTCAGTGGGAAGGAAGCTTTGCTCTCAAATAGATTCTATTATTTTAATTTTATAGTTACAGGTAATAAAAAATATTTGAAAGAAATAATTTACAATTCTAATAGTAATACATTTGCAATATATTAGAAATATAGTTTAAAAATGACTTAATATTCTTAATTAGTATAAAGTTTAATTTTATGCTTTGTATAGAAATTGTAGCTTTACTTGTTACCACTCTCTCAGCAGAAGGAAGCAGAAAAGTTCCTAAATAGTTAAATAGTATTGGGAAATTAAAAAATATATTATTTTGGCTTTTTTTTTTTTTAATGGTAATATAAAAATATCCTTAAAAAATATATTGTTAAACATATGGGCTTGTACTAGAGTAGCATCGTGTATTATATACAGTAAGGCAGTATATCAAATATTGTCCTGCTATTGTTTTCATGTTTGGTTTGATTGGACTAGGATATAAATGGGATGCAAAGCTTTCTGTCACATTGAAACAAAGCAAAAATATATTTAGAAGAATTTGTTATTTTACTGTAATTTGTTGAATACATTCTCTTTTATATATGATTTGTCATATATAAGAGCTCATTTCTACTTAAGGATTGAGAAAAAACATAAAGAAAACTTAATCTAGTGACAGCATGCATTCAGAAGAAACTATGATTTAACTTATTTAGGAACTGCTCAGATCACTATGGTGTACCAACTGATCCATAACAATTTTCACCTTTGTTGAATCTGCAGTATTCCCTCAGATTTAATCAGTTAATAGAAGATCTGGAGAGCTGAATAATTAGTTTGCAATATTTTTTTCATAGCAGATAATATCTATTTCCTCATTTCTCTGTGTCAGAAACATGTGTGAATGATTCAAGGTTTACTTCCAAGATTGTTACCTCAACCCACAGTTTAGTTTATTTTCTGTGTAATACACATAGGAGGCTAGACTTTTTTAAGGAATTGTTTGCTATGTGGCTTTGTTTTACTGTACATACATACTAAGTATGTACTGTATGAACTACTAGTTATTTAAAGGGGGGCATAAAGGAAGATGGGTCCATGTAGTCTGATCCATTGTCCTCTCTATTCATCTCACTTGGAGCTGTCAGAACGTAGCTCATATCTATTTCAGCTTCACTTTGCTGGACGTTCTGAGGCGTTTCCTCTGCAGGTTCTTGAGACACAGGCATTTGCTGGTTTTGTGAATCTGGCATTAATACTATAATATTATGGTCCACAACTGTTGAGACCTTGGTATATTCTTTGCTGGTTCCTGGAACAGTGTATTTTTCGGTTTGCCCACTATTTTCTTTATGTTTCAGTAATACTGCTGGGTCCACATCTTGTCTGACTTTGTGAACTTCTACATAATCCATTAGTCTAGGATTCAAGAAAGGTGACTGGTCATTGGGTCTGCTTTGTTTGACCTGCACTGTGGTTTGGTCAGCTTTGGAATGTAAATTCTCCATCTCACTTTCATTTTCCAAGTTGTCATGGACAGTTTCAGTGATAGGATATTGTGGCTGATGATTTTCTTCATTTCCCACCGAAATTGGTGCAATGTTCATATTTGTGGCACTCAGTGCTATTGTATGTGCATCTACAGTACTGTGGTAGGCAAACATAGAAGGCTGATTATTAGGTAGCTGAGCTGGAGGCCATGTGGATGATCTTGGATTCTCATCGTTAAAAGGGATTATTTTCTCTTCTGAGGCTTGACACAGAATTTCGCAGCTTCCTTTTTTTCCTGCTTTGTTTTCTTGAACATTTCTTACATCTTGTGTTTGAACTGTTGATGGAAGGGCGCGGGACTTTTTGCACTTCTCAGAAAGCAAAGAAGGGCTATCACAGCTCCCTCGTCCTGAGTCACTGTCTATTTCCCTGGGTATCATTTTTGTGTTTTTAGTGGCATTGTCACAGCTTGGCATGAGTTGCTGCTCCTCACTGTCCTCTACCTCCAGATATTCGACCAGTAGTTCCTCACAGTCTGATGTTGGAGGGAAACTGTGGCAACCAAGAGCACTCAATAATTCTTCAGATTTTCCTCTCTGAGGGCATAATAAGATACATTTTTTCACTGTTAACCCTAGGCTTTATCTGACTAGAACAATTATGAACAGTCTATATATTTAATATATAAATACTTCAATAGTTATATCACTAGACCAAAACTGGAGTTTGTATTGCTGCAGAAAATACTGGAAGAACAGAAGATTTCTTGAGTTCCCTCAGTGGGGAGACACAGTCCCAGAATTCATGTTTCTAAAATGGAAGGACTTGGGAGCTTCTGGGAAGTACAGGTCTCATGGGTTTAACAGGGAGGAAATGGAGGAGAATGACGGAGCAGTTATGTCCTGTCTCCTCAGCACCGCAAGAGACTGGAGAGTAACTTCCATAAGAACCGCTAGGAAGGTCACACAAGCATTAGCTCTTGTGGTGTCCCAAAGAAAGTCACAAACTGCTTTTAAATACCCTCCAAGGCAAGACTGTCTCACACATACCCTCTACACAACCAATCTGAAAATGTTGTTTATTTTTAACATTGATCAAATCAGCTGAAGCTGTTTTATACTTTATTATGGCAATTGTGCTTGCCAGTACATAATTTAGAGAAGTAACGGTGAATTCTTTTGTTGTTATCAGTGGTACTCACCTGTAACAGATGTTTATCTATGCCTGTAATCTTTGGTCCTGGAACTGGCGGTAGGATAAAGGCTACCATTCTAAAAAAACAGAACAAACATACAAGGTGTAAGTATGGGCTCTGTCTCTCTTTATTCTCCTATTTGTTCTTTTCATGTTTGACATTTTAAACACGTCTCCCGTATCTGACAACTCCCTGTTGGACCCCCCTTCCTGTCTACCTCTCGAGCCAGGTAATTACAAATCCATTTACAGCTCATAACTTACCCTTATATGTATTTATAAGAAAGAAAATAGTACAAAAGTTATTCAACTGCAAAAGTAACACTGCTAATGTCTTTTTATTGTCCTATATCCCTTAACCTCCACTTCTCTAATGTCACTGTAACTTTACCACTGGCCAAGAAACAGCTATGTGGGGCACAGTTCAGGAGGACTATTAGGCCTGGGTGTACATACTTAGATTCATAGAATCATAGAATAGTTTGGGTTGGACAGGACCTTAAGTTCCAAACCCCCTGCCATGGCCAGGGACACCTCATGCACTAAGCCATGTCACCCAAGACTCCATCCCACCTGCCGCGCAC